TCCCCATGCTTTAATGTTCAAAAAGCTCTTTATTTTTCTCATACTGCCTGTACCTTTTCACCCTCTGTCTGAAACCAGAGCCCAGTCTGCTCTGATTGGTTAGCTGGCCGGCTCTGTTCAAGATTACTGCTCTTCTGAAAGTAAAAAAAAAGAAATAACTTTGAGATTTTAGCCCTTGCAGATCATTTACATGCACTATACCTATAGACACACTACAGGACAGGGAAGCCCCAACATGTATAATAGGGCCTCTTTAAGAGAACATCCCATATGTGAATCACCTCAATTGTCTTCGGTTGAACTCAAATAACATACTTAATTCTCCTCTTAGTATAACATCCATGTCCAGCACACCACTTGATCCCAGATTAACTTTAGAGCTCTGCTGGGACCACTTAAAATAATTCTCTGTTGTGTAACACAGCACAAAGAGCTGCTGCCCCCGTTTGTCTCCTCGCTGTCCTGCTGTTCTGCCTTTTCTCCACAAGATGGCAACAAAACACCAAATCTAAAATATGAAACATGTTGTTCCTGATCTCAGCCTCTCGTTACAGCATCACCAACAACTCATCATTGTCATCGAGAGTAAAGATGACACCAGGCAAGGGAGCAGTTGTCTGAAAGGTCAAGGCTGCAGAAAGACAGGAATGTTAATTATGTAAAAGCAAAGGTTAGTTTTAGGGGATTTTTTTTCACTTTTACTCCACTTGAAAACACTACTTACACTTCCAACACGTGCTCAAGAAGAATTTAAAGTGTTTTAACTGTTCAAAATGATGCATGTCTCTGAAGACTTTGTGAATCTGTGAATAGTTGAACCCTCTGACCTGTTGGGGGGCGAGCAGGATCGTTTTGGAGCAGGTGGGTGTGTCACATGACGCTGCTCCATGCTGGTATAAATCCACCTCTGTGTATCCACTCAGCCCTTTTTCCTCCACGTTAAGCAGCTGTGTGCTCGAGTCCAGGCTACAAAGTAGCTTCGACCTCTCCGTCATGGCTGGTATGTAACATTTAAACATTTCAGAGCCGCTACTGTGTGTTTTCGTGAAGCTAACTTGATGCTAAATCGTGTTTCTGTGAAGTTCTTCAAAGCCTGTCCCACTTTGGTTGTGTTTAAAATCAGCGTGTAGCTTTGGGGAAATGTCTGTCGGTCGATAAAGTTGTGTGTTGTTTGGTTTTAATGTTTGTGCAGCAGTTGCCCATGGAAGTTGGCAGAGTTTCAATATGCAAAAGTACATTGTGTCTCCATCTGTGTGTCAAAGCGACCAGCTGACTGCCAGGCGTGAAGCTGTCGGCCATATATGAAACATGTTATCAGATATGACAGCTATTAATGACAGGGTCACCAGCAGCTAACTGTGTTGTCATGTCAGATAAAAAAGAGTGGCATGTTTTAAAGTCATATGAAACATGTCTGAACACGAACAAAAACTGTTGGCTTGCGTCTTTAACTTTGAATGAATGACAAAAAGTAAAGAACTCATGTTGTAGGGGTCTATTTGGATCCCTTTCAGTCCCTGGACATCAGTTTTGGAAACCCTGTGCTCCTGTGTCGGGATTCTGCCCGTGGTGTAAACTTCTAGCCCACTACCGTTAAATCATGTACTTTTACTCTACTACTAAATTCACAAGCTACCCTGCAGTATACAAAGTAATTCAAACTAGCTGCACCTTAACCAGCTTTGAGAACACTTTAATGATCAATCATTATAAAACACATCATATGCACAATGAATACTTTTACTGTCACTACTTTAACTATATTTTGATGAGAATACAAAAGTATTCTCATCAAAATATAGTTAAAGTAGTGACAGTAAAAGTATTCATTGTGCATATGATGTGTTTTATAATGATTGATCATTAAAGTGTTCTCAAAGCTNCCTATCCCCCTGTGTGCCTTATCATCTGAATCTCCTCCTAGAGCACCATTGAGTTCTTTGTAACCAAATTTCTCTCAGAGGGGCGTGGGGAGGGGCTCCTTATTTTCATCTAAAGTAACAGACAGAGAATCAGCACTTTGGAAACACGGCTGAAACAGGGGGGATTATGGGTAATGCTACAATCACCTGTTTGTTGTTTGGGGCCAAACACTTCAGAGACATGTTTTGTATACATCTGAGACCTATACTATATTGATGAAAAACAGTATAAAGGGGGCCTTTAAGGAAGACTCAGTGTGAGCCTCACCAGTGTGTCTGCGTCCATGAACACACACTTGGAGTAGTGAGTGAGGGTCCAGCAGTGCAGTTTGGTGAAGGTGACGCCCAGGTCGGGCCTCTTCATCATGGCCAGGTGTGCCGTGTCTCCGCTATCCAGAACATCCACCTCCCTCACCTCGTCATAGATCCTCTTCAGAACCGCCCTGATGATTCACAACACTACAGAATTAATCTCCATCAAAAGGTCCAGGTGGGAAACAAGGCACTGCGTGGGATTTAGAGATATTGCACCAATGGCTAGAGGTTAAGTTTCTTACTTGCAAGGCTCTGACATCTGTGGACCGACGAGAGCCACCAGCTTCTTGGATGTGTTGTGGTTACGGAGGGACTTTCCCAAAACCATGGCTCCACGAGCATAGTTGTCATTGGTAGCCAACGTCACAAAAGCCTGGTCTGCAGAGGCAAGAAGAGGAGGGGGTTACATTCATAAACAACTGATGGTTATTGAAGTAAAATAAATGCTAGATGAAATGTTCAAAAAGGTTTGCAATACAGTTTTGGCTGCATCTTTTGACGGTCATTTAAATATTACAAGATATTCAAATGGTAGCCTTCTCTCATCTTAGAAAAGTGGGTCCAGTTTAAGGATTTTCTAACTTTTGGAAATTGCAAATATTTTTACAAAACCTAACAAACAAGTTTCAAAAGGTACAGCATGCAAGTCCCAAATGGAGATATATCGAGATCCAGTTGAGCTAAAGCAAATAGCAATTATTTAATATCTTCAATGTTTGGCCTGCAGTAACAAAAAACATCCACTTAAGAAAAAAGCCAAAAACTAAAAGCAAATCTTCAGCAATTTAAATTCCCAAAAGGTTCACAAGATTAATGACAGCTACCATTTCAAGGACTCTTAAACAAGCTTGACATATTCTCCCCTAAATGCGAGATTTCTCCCTCGTTTAAAGAAAAAGACTTCAGCACAAACAGTCCCAGATTAAAAGTCTCATTAGGTGAATTTTATTTGCCGTGTGGTGCCGACTCAGTGCCTCCACCTCTGATGGCAGCGAGGAAAGAAATGTGTCATCTACCTGCCAACTCAGAACTGAGAACAATGACTCGCCTGTGAGACGACATTCAAATCCAATGATGAAATGTGCTCGGCAGCTGGAGAGCTTAAGCATGCGGGCCAACATCAATCCCACTTGGACTGTATATCAACCATGGATCAGTTATTGTACTGCCAATAACGGGCAAAGTAAGTAAGACTGTATACAAATGTTGCTCTGCTCCCTTTCTGCACACAGCACCACACCCCCTTTCTCTCACACCCCCTTTTCAATTGGTACAACAGGCTCTGCAGTATAAATGCATGTAGCCTGACATGAATCATTAAAAAAAAGCTCAACCTTAGCCTATAGGATGAGTGGATGCACACACACCCCTCTATTTCCTGCAGTAACACCACATGGGATTTAGGCAATGCAGAGTCCAGAGTACTCAGATCTTGTACTTGAGTAAAAGTAGAAGTACTCAGATCTTGTACTTGAGTAAAAGTAGAAGTACTCAGATCTTGTACTTGAGTAAAAGTAGAAGTACCAGAGTGTAGGAATACTCTGTTACAGTAAAAGTCCAAGGCACACAGGGGATAGGTTCCTCAAGTTAAAGTAGAAAAGTATTTCTCATTCAAGAAAAAGTAGTAGTGAGGGAAGTAGGGGGACAGTAACAATAGTAGTC